TACCGTTATTATTGCGAATGTTAGCATTATTATTTATATTTATATTAATATTATTATTATTATCATATTTCTTTATAAATCATCTTTAATATTTTCATTATCATAGTTATTATTATCATCACAATTATCATCACCAAAATCAGCAAAATCATCAGCATTATCATTATCATTGCTGTCAATGTCGTATTCATCCGCCACTGCCTGGGTGATGTTGGGTCGCAAGCTCTGCCTGAAGGAGGATCCGATGTTCCTGCAATACGGTGTCACTCCTGTCTGGCAACCGAAGTGACTCCCTCTCCACGCGCGCTGTTCACCCACTTGCATCCAAGGGCTATTTAAGTATAAAGATATCGAGACCTTGCTTGTGTCCACTATTTACAGCCAGCATTTCTCTCCAGTCTGCTCTAGGAAAAAAGTAGCAATACTTCGTGGTTTTATTATTCTTAGTATAAGGAATGGGTGTGAGACTCTTTCTATATGTTATCTTCTTGCAACCTTAGTGATAGTTAATGATAAGTGGTTTGTTTGTTATTATTGGCATGAGGATGATAATTTATCTCATTATCATTATTACCTTTATATCGTTTTTTAGATGTTTGAAGGGAAATCAGCACAGCATGTTTTATTATGGTTGTAGTTGTTTTTAATAGTCGTCCAAGCGTGGAAGCAGTTGATGATATTATTGTCATTATGTTAGATTACTATGACTATAATGGTTGTGATAACTGTAGTAATAATAAGTGGTAATAATATCTTCAATACAATAAGTTCCTTATTAAATTAGCAATCATCATTTTTAAGTCATTATTCACTGGAAGTACAATTGATTTATTAAGTATGGTACTATTAAATAAAACATTTTTCCTTTCAAACCTGTTCTAAATCCACTTTCAAACCAAGGGGAAAGAGATTTCCGTTTCGTGACCTCCATTATCTGCTACTCAGTATTGCTCTTCGTACCTTCTTTTTTGCGATTCAGCCCACAAAAGCAGGCAGGCCGTGCCACGTGTCCGACCTTCGCCCTGCCACCGCGACGCGTCAACTGCGCCCTTCCTTGTAACCGTTTTTTCTGCCGGAAGGTGTATTTTTTGTGTCTTGTCTCCGACCTTTTTATTTGCCTCTTTATATTTTTCCACGTTAAAAAAGGATAGTTTTCTATTATGTCATTATCACCACGGTTGTAAGTTTTCAGATTTAACCCACAGCGGTTGTTCCTTATTATGCACGACATGAGACGTCGCCTCGCGTATTATCTGGATGCGAAAGGTTCGCTGTGTGTGTGTGTGTGTGTGTGTGTGTGTGTGTGTGTGTGTGTGTGTGTGTGTGTGTGTGTGTGTGTGTGTGTGTGTGTGTGTGTGTGTAGGCGTTTGATAGTGTAAATATGTTTGTATTTGTGTGCATGAAAGAGATGAGAGTTTGTACGTATTTCAGTAGCTGTTTGTAGACATTTGTGTGAGATTTATTCGAGATTTGCCACTTGCTATGCATATATCTGTTTGTGCGTTATTTTATCCATCCCACATTCGTGCATGCTCTCACTCTCACCCTTCCATTCCAGCTGGACGTTAAGAAACAGCAATCCAACATGTTCATCGCTCTCTTCACTCTGATTTGCATCGCCGTGGGGTTTGTGGTGTTTATCTTCATTCCTGCTGGAATTTTCATGGTCATTGACTATTGGTTGTACTTCGATGCAGTCTACTTTGCCGTCATCACTCTCACTACTGTCGGCTTTGGAGACATGTTAGCTGGTAAATTAGACGATGTTATCTTGGTTATTCATAGATTTAGAAACTATAGTGCACGAGGATGTTAACTCCTGGTTGTGTTACACATGACTGTCTGCCGTCTGGTACATTGTGAAAGGGTATTAATGGGACCTGTCTGAGTATATCGGCAGTTTTTTTGCATGTCATTAGTTTATTTTTTTCATGAGCATGATGCTGATTTCAAGAAAGGTCTTAATTCAGCTTGTTGCGATCGCAATTCATCCAGCTTCCTTTAAATACTGGTTGTCCTGGTCTATAGTTTCATTGCAACCTTGCATAAGATGCAAATGTATGTCCTTTATCCTTTTTGCAGTACATATTAGGAAGGGTCACTGCCTTAAACCTTGCGCATTAAGTCAGTAGGGTCTTCGTATTCACAAGAACTTGGGCTTTAATATTGGTAAAAAATAGTGACCTATAAGTCGGGAAAATAAAAAATGCTTTTGCGTTTAACTAAAGTTTGCTTAAAGTCTTGTCATAATGGTGATCGTGTTCCATGCCTGAGGATTCCCCTGGTCCCTATATTGAAAACATAAACATGGAGTGGATACTAACCTCATACGACGATAGATAGTAGGGTGAGCTTGTATGTCTGTCTGTGGCTCATGTGTAATACTTTTCTTAGGAACGGAGGCGTGGGGCTGGAGAAGGAGCGTATACGAGGTCTGCATCATTATGTGGATCATGACAGGGCTGGGCTACTGGGTCACTGTCGTCACCTTCATCACAAAGGCGCTCAAGTCCAAACGCCAAAGCTCCTTCCTGCGCAGCGCCGAAGAGATGAAGTTGTTGATGCAGCAGATGGGGATCAAGGACACTGACCCGAGGTTCCTCAGTTTCGTGCAGCAGGTGAGACAGGAGAGAAAGGGGAAGATAGATTGGTTGATAAATAGAACGATATATGTATATCTGCCTATTTACCTCACTCACACACACATACACACATACACACACAAGTGTGTGTGTGTGCATATACATACATACATATATATATATACATATATGTATGTGTGTGGTATAATAACGTTGATAGTAACATAGTAAGACTATAAACAACATCCGGAAGGTGGTGCTCCACACATCAGTCCCTGGCTGAACAAAGGCTGTGCCATCCCACCGCTGCCACCAGATGTGAGCAACACGAGAGATGGACGGATAATGAAAGTGGTCTTGGCTTTTGGCTTTATTCGCTACAAGGTGAGTGGATGCAAGCTGAGCTCCTGATAAGGTATGGAGAATGTCCCCCTTTTATTCAGCAGCTACATCCTGGGTGGTGCTTGCTTTCGCAGGCTGGAGTGTCAGGTTTATCAGGTTGTGACAGGGGTGAGTCACTGGGCTTGCTCGAGGAGCAGGGGCTGCTTCTTGTGATAAGGTGTATTCAGGAGGCAGCAACGGGAAGGCAATCCCTTTGTTCAGCCAGAGACATGTGTGGAGGACAATAGAGACAATAATCAAATAACCTTACTTCCTTAGGCATAAAGAATGACTATGTAGACAAATGATTCTTCCTGTAAACAAATCCTCCTTCCCTCTGCCCCCACTGCAGCTGAGCAACTTTATCGGCATCGAGATGGACGACCTCCCTAACGACGCGACAGCCTTCCCCAGCACCTCCTCCCCTGCTGCAGCGCCGGCGATGAGCTGAGAAGCTCCCTTTTACGAGGTTATTTGGTCCATAAGTTGGAGACTACTAAGGCAGTGGGCGTTAGCTGTTAGGGGGTTATTTGTAGTTGCTAGTTTGTGCATCTATTGCTAGGTTATGTGTATATTCGTTATTTAAGTATCTGTTTCACCGCTCGTTCCACTCATTATGTGATTTTAAATACATGTGAGTACCAAGGTTGCATGTGGCGTGTGCTAATCGGTTTACAAGATGTCCTAAGTTCTAATTTTGACAGCTATTTATCTGTCACTTGGAGTAATAAAGTGGATAATTTTGGGACAGAATATGAAAATATTGAAAATACCTGCAAGGAATAATCTTTTGATAATTCTACCAATGAAAGTATTTTATTGTACAGAGCTTAGTGTATCATATAAACATATGTGTTTCCCTACAGTTTGTACAAATGTTAATTCAATTGGTTTATTGTCTGAAAGAGGCATAATTGTGCACGAGAACTGGCACACATCACATTGTTTCCTCCTGCAAGACTGCGTGATTATCCTCATACGTATGAATCAAATGTTTTTGGTGGAAACTTTCTAGACGTTTCAAAACTTCTCTATGTAATCCGTGCTTTCAAAGTTTTCCTTTTTATTTTATATACTATGATTTTTTCTTTTTTCAGTAACTTGGCTAATAATAACTTTGGATGTAAATGCTCCATTAAAATCTGACACATTGAGGTGGCAGGTAGCACGACGAAAAAAATACAATCTTGGGATGGCACGCAGGTTAATAGCCAAATTTCTCAACAGTGAATCTGACAATATATACATTAAGTATGTCACTAATAAAGATGCATCGATTAATTACTTTTATTTAACACTATGAAAGTTTTGATACTTCCTGAACTTCTCGTGAAATCCGTCTCTCCTCCACCATCGTCTTCTCTAAATATTAGTACCTTAGGCAAAGATAAAGAATAACTAATTAGATAAATCTTAACCCATTCGCGCCGGGCGTCACGTATAGGTGACGGGCCCACTGTGAGTTTACTTGTTTGATTGTTTACAAACATAGATGGCTCCACTTGCACTAGTACTGCCTGTCTCATCTGTTTACCCTTTTCTTTAATTTACGAAACTATTTTGCGTTATCTTATTTTGCTGTTACTAATGTTTATAATATTATAGTAGTTATAATGTTTATAATAAAAATAACCATCGGTATTCATAGCACTAGTAAAAATACATTTTCCCGCCAAATGAAATCAGGTAAAGCAGAGCCATCTAGTGTAGAGAAATTTCATTAAAAAAATCTAAAAAATAAGCACAGCATTTCCCCCATTTTTTATTCATTTTTACCCGGCGTGAATGGGTTAAAACTTTGAGACATTCTTCTATGCACATCGTCCAAGTGTACATTATAGTAAATGGTTAAGGTGGCCATTTATTATGTTGCTTGGTGTCTTATCTCTTTATGGAGTGACTGTATGGGTGTGAGTGCCCACGGGTATGGTTGGGTGCTGGAGATTGGAGTTGGAGGTCTATGGGGGAGCCAGCTGGCTCCCCAGTCGGTTAAGGACTTGACAGTCCTTGGCTGCTGCTGCTGTATGTCTTGGTCTG